ATCAAATCAATACGAGGTAGTGATCCCAATGCCGCAGTATATTGGCTTGCAAGAATGATTGAAGGTGGTGAAGACCCTAAATTTATAGCCCGTAGGATGTTGATACTTGCATCTGAAGATATTGGCAATGCTAACCCAAATGCATTATTGCTAGCCACCTCTACATTTCAAGCTGTAGAAATGATAGGCTATCCTGAATGTCGTATTATTTTATCTCAAACCGCTACATATTTAGCCTCTTCCGCTAAAAGTAATGCCGCCTATTTAGCTATAGGGAAAGCACAAAGTATTGTGCGTCAAACAGGCGACTTGCTTGTTCCTATGCATTTGCGTAATGCTTCTACTAAAATGATGAAGAATATGGAATATGGCAAAGGATACCAATATGCCCATGATTTCGATGGCAACTTTGTAGAACAAGAATTTTTGCCTGAAAAAATATCTAGCATTAAATTTTATGACCCAGGTAGCAATCCAAGTGAAGAACGACTCAGAGCTTATCTCAAACAATGCTGGAAAGAAAAATATGACTATTAATTTTATGGTGGCAATGGCCCACTAAAAGTGCCACAATAAGGATTGAAAGCGCATTGTTTATGATAGTTAATATGTATTTCAGGATTATTATTGGTAGTTACTTTGATTACATAATCTGGAGTAGCATAACGCTTGCGTAAGCAAGTAATATCCCATGTTATTTCTTTTGTGTTTCTAGGAACAACAAATGGTTTTCCCTTCCATTCTTCAACAAAATAATAACTAACACCAGGCTTTAACCATATTTCAAAACGACCATCAGCATTGGTTTTTACCTTTTTGAAAAGCTTATTACTGCTTTTATTTAATGTACCGACTTTTACATAAATAGTTTTGTTGGCATAAGGTTTTTCTGTTGCAACATCTTGCAGCATTTCATCACTTGGCCTAGCTCCATTACAATAATCTTCTGTTGATGTGATGTATCCTCTTACAAGCACTAACTTTTGAGCATGAAGATTATTTGTAAAGATTAATAGGATATAAAGAAAAATCCACTTTTTCATTGTTCATGTTTTACTCATCACAAAATAACAATATTATTTTATAGAATCATTGAATAAAAAATTGGTCTTGAATTCTTTATTTTATTCTTACGACATTTGCTACTGACAATATCACTTAATGAGTCAAGCCCAAAAGAAAACATTTTCATTCCTTACACTTCGGCGAATTTTTTCGTACACTGATAAGTATCGCAAGACGTTCTTTGCTGCGATGTTTTTGAGTATAGTATTGGCAGGAATGGGTGGTGGTACTGGTACAGGTGGTGCGCCTGTTGTTGCCAAAATTTGTAAAGATTTAGATATCCTTACTGTGGGTATAGTGTCCACACCTTTTTCTTATGAAGGACGTAAGCGTATGGCACAGGCTGAAGAGGGTATTAATAAATTACGTGAGCATGTTGACACGATTTTGGTTATTTCAAATGACAAATTGCGCCAACAATGCGGGAATATGCCTTTTCGTCAAGCATTTGCAAAAGCAGATGATATCCTAGCTACAGCTGCAAAATGTATTACTGATGTAATCACTACAACTGGACAAATAAATGTTGACTTTGCAGATGTTTGTACTGTAATGAAAAATGGTGGTGTGGCTATACTTGGCAGTGCAACAGCTAATGGAGAGAACCGAGCACACATTGCTGTTGAACAAGCGCTTAATTCGCCATTACTTAATGATAATAATATTCAAGGTGCAAAATGGATATTGTTGAATATCGTTTCAGCAGAAGGAGAGCATGAACATACAATGGATGAAGCTGAAGCAATACAAGCATATGTACAACAGCAAGCTGGTGATGATTGTGATGTGATACTAGGTATGGGAAATGACTCAAGCCTTGAAGACAAAATTGCTGTAACCGTAATTGCTACTGGGTTTAATTACAAACAAGTTTCTGCACAAATTCAAGAAAGAAAGAAGGAAGACGCCAAAGTTGTCGTTAGCCTTGATCATACTCAAGCAATTAGTGCTACTACTGTGCCCACTACTCCAATTGCAGCCGTTGACCCAATGGCACCTGTATTAAAAGAATCTGCCGAGGCTAAAGAGGATATCGTAAGCACGATTGTAAATAATGTTTGGGAAAGAAATGTATCATACTCGTTATTTTTTAAAGGGTTAGTTTTTTATGTTGTTGTTGTGAAATGTATTTTAAGTTGTGTGTTTTTAATTTTAATCAAATTGACGATCTTCTTCATCTTCAAACATGCTCATCAATTTATCTTTAAGACCGTCGAATATTTTTCCTATTTGTCTTCCTCTTTTCCTTCCTCGTTCTTCCTCTGCATACATAAATGCACTTTCTTCAGCAGTCATCTCTTTTACTACTTCCTCTTCATTTGATTCATCTAAAGAAATATGCAATAAATTGTTGGCAGAGTTTTTATAGGTGCCATTTTCAAAATCATGATATCCACGCAGAATAAGACCAATACAAGTAGAATACATTGGGTCATTCATATCTTCGCTATGGCCACCTGCAAGGTGCTCATTTGGCAAGCCGATGCGGGCACTTAATCCAGTTACATATTCAGTCAATTGAGTAATATGCTTTAGACTTGCACCACCTCCTGTAAGAATAATCCCTCCATACAATCTCTTTTCCAAACCAATTTGTTTTAGATGATAGAGCACATAATCAAGAATTTCTTGGGTACGAGCTTGTATTATATGGGCAAGATTTTTCACTGAAATCTCTTTGGGGGGCAAACCTTTTAGACCAGGTATTGTGATGTAAGAATTAGGGCTAGCGTGGTCGGCATGTGCAGTGCCAAATTGTACTTTTAACTGCTCTGCTTGTGCCCGCAAAACACCCAATCCATAATGAATGTCATTTGTAATATTTACACCTGCATAAGGTATTACGGCAGTATGCTTCAGAATACCATCATAAAACACTGCCATATCTGTTGTGCCACCACCTATATCTACAATAGCTACACCTGCCTCCAAATCTTCCGGACTCATAACTGCAGCTGCGGAAGCTAAAGGTTGTAATACCAAATCTTTGGTTTTTAACTCAGATTTTTCGACGCAACGTTTGATATTTCGTATAGCATTTCTATCTCCTGTTACAATATGAAAATTTGCTCCAATTTT